CCTTTTTGGGAGAAATTTCTCATGATACAATAGTTGTAGCCCCTTCTCTTAGCTTTCTAAATCTGTTGAAATCATGTTGTTTAGTGTTCTTTTCATGTAGAAAAATGCAAAAAACAAAAAAAACGCAGCACTTTTGAAAACATTTTACCTCATATCTCCACAATGGAAGCACTTTAGAACATAATTCCAACTGATTCAGAAAGCTATGGTGAAGAGCTACAACTTTTGTTTTTTTCCCATTTTTGGAAATTGGTCATGTGACCACCCTCCCAATGCGGACCATAATAGCTATTTTATTGCTATCATGGAATATAATGAAAAATCATAATGATAGCCCTGGGGGTAGATATGAAATTGGAATGAAATATTGAGAGATACTCAATGAAAGCTGTGGAATATTCAATGAAAGTGCACAAGAAGCAATGGATACATATAACCTAGCCAATGAAATATTTATTGAAATGCACAATGAAAGCGCACAGCATTAATTAATGAAAGGGGAATGAAAATGGTTGAAATTCCTAATGAAAGAGGCAATGAATACACCTGACCTAGGGAATGAAATATTTATTGAAATCACACAACATTAATTATGAAAAGTACAATGAAAGCATCCAATATTCCTAATGAAATATTCAATGAAAGGGGAATGAAAATTGTTGAAATTCCTAATGAAAGAGGCAATGAATACACCTGACCTAGGGAATGAAATATTTATTGAAAGCATCCAATATTCCTAATGAAATATTCAATGAAAGCGCACACCATTAAATATGATAGAGGCAATGAATACACCTGACATAGTCAATGAAATATTTATTGAAATTACACTGGATTGATTATGAAAAAAGCAATGAAAGTGCCGAAAATTCCTAATGAAATATTCAATGAAAGTGCACACCATTAATTATGAAAAAGGCAATGAATACACCTAACCCAGTGAATGAAATACCTATTGAAAGCGCACAGGTTTAATTATGAAAAGTACAATGAAAGAACTGAACAGCTTCAATGAAATATTCATAGAAAGCACATGATAATAATTATGAAAGCTTTTATGAAAGGTCCTAAGAAATGTTATGAAAGGATCCTGTGGTCTTTGCCTACATTTATAGCCTTTATGAGAAAGAAAGACACAGGACACACCTATGAAAGGCCTTTCATAAAACTTGTGGACTTATACACACAGCTCTACAGGCAAGTGCCTTGGTTTTATGATAAAGGTGGTAGCCACTTGTGAGTCAGAATCCACTGGAGTCCAGTGGATTTCAGTGATTCCAGTGCATTATTGCTTATTACTTATTATTATTAATACTACAAAAAAGCGAAATAGACTATACAGACTTATAATTCTATTGATCAATGAATGGAAAGGTAATGTTATAGATATTAGTATAGGTAGTGATAGCTGCAATAAGGATTCAT